AACATTGCAAGTACGACCACCTGTGCGACCGATGGTTAATTTTGCATTCATCCTGCTCTAAGTTGCGTGAATCTACACTCAAACCAAGCCAAGGGCGTTGCAATTATCATTCCTTTTTGGCCCAAAAAGCGCATCTTTTCCAGATTAATGTTCTGAGTCATCCACGTAACACCACGCATACCTAACCAATCACTTCTCTCTACATCAAAAAAACCTTAAATTCACCCTCTTAACCAGAAGAATTTGCGCAAAAGCGGAAAACCCATGAATATGACTTTTTTAAGGACAGAGTAATGACAACTGTAAGATCTCATCACAACGACCTAAACAAGTTGCACAATATCCTCAGAATTCCGATCCAGGAAGAGGAAATCAAAGACTTCGTTGTAAAAATTGGGGTAGTATTGGCAGGCTCGTGTGCAGTCGGGAGTGAAGTTTACCTCACAGATCTGTGGTTCTACACAAAAGCCGCAAAACGCGGCCTCTCGGTGATGTTGTTGCCATTCCAAAAGTAAATCCACAGCATACATTGCACGTGACTTGCCGTAGGCACCCAAGCCTCGAGGCGGTGGATAGGCCGTGGCTGTCTTGAAGACGTCTGCCAACATTTTGTGAATTTTCGACTACAAGGAAGAATGGCGAGTCGATGATTACGGAAAACACTCAGACAGAATCAGTATGCAAATAATTCGTTTGGCATTCGCAGACACATAAGATAGAGGAAGCACTATACCTCAATATCCTTCCACCGGAGATTGGGATACTGCTTTCCAAGGGCCTGAATGAAATCAGTGTGGTGAATCTGCAAAAGTTCATCACTTTCACGATAGTTCATCACGGTAAAGTGCTTTGTGTAGTCGTCGAAATGGTCCAACGAAAATTGTCTGAAAGATGAATGTGGTAATAACAGCCAATGCATGCCGACTCATACCTTCGTTCCTAAAAAAGTGTCGTGACTCAATGGAATGTCATAAGATTCGCGTATAAAAGAGGAATTGGGTGCAACGATAAAAATGCACCAAAAAGCAGTGAAAATCTTTACCCTGTGTGGTTGAAAAGTAGATGGAAAATCGTGAAGGCGACAGGTGGTGTAACAGATCCTTGCCATCGCTTTGGTGCCCATCGGTTGACTGCCATACTGGCAGCATAAAGCTTTGCCCTCACAACCTCTTTATGGGTCACGCGGTCCCCTTCCCATTCATACCCAACCTCTCTGGAAGTGGACCCAGGCACCAAATAGTCTTGGAGCCTTGTGTGTTGTGGCATGGGGAACTAGTACCACCACTTACACTCAGTGATGAGATAAAGTGGATTAAGAATATTCACCGTCCATTTTATTGTCGTGAACTCAACCATACGGTTCGGTACCGCCAAGAATCAGAAAAGGGTTCACATTTAAGGGCAGTGTGAATAAAGCCTAGAACAGATTGACATCAGCAATAAATAAGTCCCGAAAATTGCGGCAAACTAAATCCTTTTTCTAGCTTTCGAGCACAGACAAAGTAACTTGAAGGTACGCACTTATTGGCAAATCGCAACCAAAAGACCTTGTGCGTGTAGAGTTGGAGAGGTTGGACGGACTTGAGGAAGACTACATAACGCAAATCGAATTTCACCCAACTGGAGATGTCCTCCCGGTAGAAGAGCACTGGATCGGTGATGTATCGACTTGCAATCTGAAATTGTGCAGGCGAAACGAATTGGTGAAGCATAAAGAAGTTTGACAATTCCTAGGGATGGTCACTCTCAAACAGAGCACGGCATCGCCAACCAATTCAGCTACTGCCTTCGGGGGTGACACGCCAAGAGCATACCGCATTCCTTTAACACCTTAGGCCCAGCTAAGCTGTTGGTATCCCAAAATTAGTGCCAAACAATTGTCCAAAACCGCTACTGAGGAACACGTATCACAGGGTGAGACATGCAAAACAAGACTGGTGATGAACGAGGTGACCTTTATAACCCCAATAATGATAGAGCTAATTTTGTAAACGTCCAGCTAGAGTGAAGTACTTAAGCAGCCGAGCAACATTCAATCACAGCCGGTTGTTATTTTAAGAATGATGTAATCCTTCCGCATTTACAAGAGATGCACACATGCTGAGTACAAAGGTAGTCACCTTGAGGTGAAGTAGGAAGGGAAGCAGCGACATCCCGAGACACCTCAAAATCAGGACCACAAGAAGTTTCACCCCACCAATGGTGGACACTGATAACATGTTTGAAAAAGAGAAACAAAAAATCACGCCTTCCTCTGAGGAATTGGTGAACAAAAGGGCTTACCATTGGGCCGCATTCATTGAGTCGGAGAATTTGGTCGAGGTTATCGGAAATGCAGATGCCTAGACCACGACCCAGGTTCCAGGGTTTCACAATCCAAATGTTGTGTTTCTTCGACTCACACCCAACGGTAGTTGACACATGACGACCTTGACTGTCACAACGCTGACAAACGTCGGCATGGGAACATTGTGACAGGTCGGGTTTTGTCTAGGAGTGAAGAAAGAAGAAATTAATGACTTCTAAGGGCCCTATCTAACCTTCCATTGACCAAGTCCATAAATGCATTTGACTCTTCGTTCGAGTAAATTACCGATGCATTCAATCAAGGTAGTGTTTGTCAACGAATTGCGACAAAACTCTACCAGAGGGGATGATGGACGTTGATAAAGAACAGTTTAAATAGATTCTAAGATACACAAAGCTCTGAAATCCAGCCTTCAAAAACGCTCTCGATCCAAATCAAGGAGGACCAATGCGCCAAGTTAAGAAAACAGAAAGTGACAACCATCTTTCCCAGGAGCCGCAACAGTAGAAAGAGCTAGAAGTGAAAGCATAAGGCAGATTACTCAATACTACTCAGACTTCCAAGAACAGTTTAAGTAGACATGAGAACTAAGGGTGCGCCAGGCGTTAGAGGTATCCGACTTTTTGGCCAACAAGTAAACGTTGCCACTATAGGAAATTACAAAAAAGCAAAATAAAACCACATTCATTTAAATGCAGAGAACATAAAAGCATTTGCAAAACTAAAAACGAACCCCATTTTCTTCCACTGCCTCCTCTTCCTCGTCCGAAATTGTCTCGGACACACGCTGGAAAAAAGCCACAAACTGTGCCAACTCGTAGTAGAGGTTGAAAGTTACAGGGTGCCACGCAGAGGTGAGAGCTCGTTTGGAATGGTCGCCATCGCCACCATTACTGCTCTCCCCTTCCTCCTCGTGAAGATCAAAGGCATCTCCGGGACCACTGATTTCGATGGCACGTTCAGAGGCAGCAAGAGCGGCTAGCATGTCTTTAACAGTAATGATGGACTCGTTGGGGAACTGATTCAACCATACGTGACCTTGGTTCCGAGACAACCACCTAAGGA